TGCCTTAGTCACTCTTTCCTGTCCCAATATCGCGCTCGAAGCGTAGAGGGTTGCTACCCTACTTATATGACTGGAGAGTCATAACAAACTGGATATGGGAAATTATGCAACCAGCTAAAACTTCAATAACATACATTACCAAAGTACTTACCAAATCGTGTTAACACTAGAACAACGTGATGTATTGGCTTGGAACATATTTTCTAATTTGCGAATAAAAACCAATTTTTGCACCGCTGGCTGGGAGCATCGGAGCGACACCTCTTCAAAAAAAAGCATCGTTTCTACGTAAAGGGCCCTGACTGTTCAACCTATTAACCCATCGACAACTGCGCATTATTAACGTGTCTGGCGCATGGGACCAACGACGCTCTTCTCGTTGATTTTTCATTGACCACTGCTTGTACTAGTTTGTTTCATAGTATAGCATCTGTTCGTCTGTTATACATTTAAATCTAAGAAATTTCGAAGGAGCGATACATTCGACCACAAACAAAAAAGTGACCCAGCCGTAGGTCATCCTATCCCACGCATCCCAAATGCAAGACTCTCCATGCATCACGGGATCGTCAGTGAATTAAAGACGAAAAGTTGGTTCTGCCCTTTAACTAAACAAAAATAATTTTGAAAAATAGCTCAAGGGTCAACAATTTTCACTACTATAAGTCGGTACTTTACAGATGAGTGAATTACGGTTTAACAATGAATATTGTTAAATACCATAGGCCCTAAGTTATTGTACAACTTTCGAGTTGAATATTGGATCACAGTGCAAGTTATTCTAAGATTACTCGGAAAACGTCAAGTTAGAAATAGATAATTGGAACTCTCATATACATTTCATTCTAGGGATATTAACTAGTCATATTCTATTGCAAAAAAATTGCCATAGAAAAAAATGAGCACAAAGTCAAGCTAACAGATAGCTGAGCAAAGTGCTTAATTACAGCAGAAAAAATTGATATCTCGATGCACTAAAACCATTCTACTTCTGCACATGTCAACAGCAAAATAATCACCTATTAATACATTCAATAATTACAGCGTGGCAACTTTCGGACAAACTCAGAAATCAAAGCTTCTCTGTGTACTGCTTCCACTATCCATATGGCGAAGGCCGCCCACCGTATAGGCACCTGCATCTTCCGACGATGAGACCCTTTGTTCTCCACGAAGTTCACTGGGCCGTTCGATTAAAGGTGAACTCATTCTTCTTCGCTCGGAACTATCAGTAAGCCCATTTCGATGTTTTGCAAGCCTCCTTGTTTCTTCTATTACATCCTGGCGATTCTTCACTCTGATCTCATTGGGTATAATGTTCTGATGCCTTGGCATTTCTTCGGATGAGCTTCTTCTACGTGTTGGTGCCTCTACTATGACCTCTTCTACACGATTACTGGAGTCACGAATTTCAGTGCTCTTTTCTTCGCGAATGGTTTGTAACTCTACCTGAAAAGGGGATGTTAAGCTTCGAATAAGGAAAGGTGTAGAAAGCATCTAAGCATGACAAACTAAATCTAAGATGTTACAATTTTTCCGTATTTTTTAAACCATAATTCCACGCAATTTTCCAATTTTTGACAATGGTGTATATGGTATAAAAACCTCTCCCTGCTCCATAAAGTTACGCCCATAGTTCCATTACTATTACTACTAATAGTTCCACTATTATTTTGATTATTAAGCTGAAGAATGGAATGTCGGGTCGACAAGAAGAGCGTTTCCGACAACTACTGATGTTGAAATTATGAAAATCTTGTCGCACTCATATTTGTTCGCTAACGGAGAAGATTACCTTCTACACTACTGCTGAATATTGGTTCATTGACTTCGATTAGCTTTTAATACCTCCAAGCTTCGATAGCTTTTGGTTGAAGATCAATTTAAGTAGGTGTGATAGCTACTTTACTTTTCAGACCTTGCTCCAAAGATTATCACCTTTTTCGGATTATTTTCAAAGTATAGGCTAAGCGTAACCTTCAATAGCAAAGTGCATATCAAAAATTGACTGAATGGGCTTAATTGAGAGGAGGTCGTGCAATTCTATTATAATGTCAACATAAAAACAAGTTCTCGCAGCAAATAATGAAAAAAACTAGCCATCAAAAATGCTGTTTTTTTATCGACTGACATACTTTTTCGTTCAAAACGCAACGAAATAAATGTCTTGGTATCATGATAAATAAGGTACTGCAGACCAAGGAAAGAGCTTTCGCACTACACCATGCGGAGAAGTGAGTATTAGGAAACATCAGAAAATCATGTAACAACCTAACACGTTAAGTTAGCAAAAACCACAATTTAGTCACCCAATGGTAAGAATTCAAAAGTTTGAACAGGTTTCTTTCCCTGAACACGAGATATGCAGATATAAATTACCTCATCTGTATCTATAGAGCTCTTTCGGAATCGCTGCATTTTATGGTGCAGACCCAAAGCAGATACCTTCTTTTTCAGATTGTCCATTCCTGAAAGCGACCGTGATTGTAAAACAGAAGGACAGATGAGAAGTAAGAGTAAGCAGTTCCAACCTTCTTCCAAAATTGAATGTTCCTTCTCCTTTAGCTCAGGTACGGGAATGTCCTCTGGCATTTTTCGCATCCGCAAACTAGCAGTAGTAACCAAGCCCTTACGACGCTTCTCCTGCAAAGACCCTACAATTTTTCCAAAATGAGATCAAGATGAATGCAAACTCATTTCGAACCAAACTTTTTATGATAAAGGAAATAGATAAACAACTCGGTTCTTAGTCAAAATGGAAAATAAGCCTCACTATAGTTTGAATTCTTCCCCACATCAGTTCATCTCGTTTCTCTTTCGAAAACGGGTTTTCCAATAATGAGTTTCTTATAGCACTTGTGACCTGGAAAGATCATGGAGCAGTTGAAGTGTGAGAGATTGAGCACAACATTGAGACATTAGAGTCAAAGTAACTTACAAGGATAACTTCGGCTAGTATTTCATACTGAGCTCTTTGATGCATAGCATCAATAGCATATAATGCAAGATCAGGCGCACCGTTATATAAAGCCAT